CAGCTTTAGACAGCAGCAATATTTATACATATATAACCGATATATTGCAATAAATCTACTTTCCTTACAGCTTCAGACAGCAGCAATACTTATACATATATAACCGATATATTGCAATAGATCTACTTTCCTTTCAGCATTAGACAGCAGTAATACTTTTACATATATAACATAAATATTGCAATATATCTACTTTCCTGATAGCTTTAGACAGCAGCAATACTTATACATATATAACCGATATATTGCAATAGATGTACTTTCCTTACAGCTTTAGACAGCAGTAATACTTTTACATATATAACAGAAATATTGCCATAGATCTACTTTCCTTTCAGCTTAAGACAGCAGCAATACTTTTACATATATAACAGAAATATTGCAATAGATCTACTTTCCTTACAGCTTAAGACAGCAGCAATACTTATACATATATAACCGATATATTGCAATAAATCTACTTTCCTTACAGCTTAAGACAGCAGCAATACTTATACATATATAACCGATATATTGCAATAGATCTACTTTCCTTACAGCTTAAGACAGCAGCAATACTTATACATATATAACCGATATATTGCAATAGATCTACTTTCCTTACAGCTTCAGACAGCAGTAATACTTATACATATATACCCGATATATTGCAATAGATCTACTTTCCTTACAGCTTTAGACAGTCGTAATACTTATACATATATAACCGATATATTGCAATAGATCTACTTTCCTTACAGCTTTAGACAGTTGTAATACTTATACATATATAACCGATATATTGCAATATATCTACTTTCTTACAGCTTTAGACAGCAGCAATACTTATACATATATAACCGATATATTGCAATAGATCTACTTTCCTTACAGCTTAAGACAGCAGCAATACTTATACATATATAACCGATATATTGCAATAGATCTATTTTTCTTACAGCTTAAGACAGCAGTAGTACGTATACATATATAACCGATATATTGCAATAGATCTACTTTCCTTACAGCTTAAAACAGCAGCAATACTTATAGCTTAAGACAGCCGTAATACGTATACATATATAACCGATATATTGCAATAAATCTACTTTCCTTACAGCTTAAGACAGCAGTAATACTTATACATATGTAACCGATATATTGCAATAGATCTTCTTTCCTTACAGCTTTAGACAGCAGCAATACTTATAGCTTTAGACAGCAGTAATACGTATACATATATAACCGATATATTGCAATAGATCTACTTTCCTTACAGCTTAAGACAGCAGTAATACTTATACATATATAACCAATATATTAATATATTGCAATAGATCTACTTTCCTTACAGCTTAAGACAGCAGCAATACTTATACATATATAACCGATATATTGCAATAGATCTACTTTCCTTACAGCTTAATACAGCAGTAATACTTATACATATATAACCGATATATTGCAATAGATCTACTTTCTTACAGCTTAAGACAGCAGTAATACTTATACATATATAACCGATATATTGTAATAGATCTTCTTTTCTTAAAGCTTTACACAGCAGTAATACTTATACATATATAACCAATATATTGCAATAAATCTACTTTCCTTACAGCTTCAGACAGCAGCAATACTTATACATATATAACCGATATATTGCAATAGATCTACTTTCCTTACAGCTTAAGACAGCAGTAATACTTATACATATATAACCGATATATTGCAATAGATCTACTTTCCTTTCAGCTTTAGACAGCAGCAATATTTATACATATATAACCGATATATTGCAATAAATCTACTTTCCTTACAGCTTCAGACAGCAGCAATACTTATACATATATAACCGATATATTGCAATAGATCTACTTTCTTTTCAGCATTAGACAGCAGTAATACTTTTACATATATAACATAAATATTGCAATATATCTACTTTCCTGATAGCTTTAGACAGCAGCAATACTTATACATATATAACCGATATATTGCAAAAGATGTACTTTCCTTACAGCTTTAGACAGCAGTAATACTTTTACATATATAACAGAAATATTGCCATAGATCTACTTTCCTTTCAGCTTAAGACAGCAGCAATACTTTTACATATATAACAGAAATATTGCAATAGATCTACTTTCCTTACAGCTTAAGGCAGCAGCAATACTTATACATATATAACCGATATATTGCAATAAATCTACTTTCCTTACAGCTTAAGACAGCAGCAATACTTATACATATATAACCGATATATTGCAATAGATCTACTTTCCTTACAGCTTCAGACAGCAGTAATACTTATACATATATACCCGATATATTGCAATAGATCTACTTTCCTTACAGCTTTAGACAGTCGTAATACTTATACATATATAACCGATATATTGCAATAGATCTACTTTCCTTACAGCTTTAGACAGTTGTAATACTTATACATATATAACCGATATATTGCAATATTATTAATTTGTATTTTTTAACTAATTTGATTCGGTCAGAGATAGTCACATGTTAAACTATATTTTCGAAGGTAGAGAGAAAACGGCGGATAGCAAAAAGCATATTGCACAGCAAAAAGCATATTGCACGGTTATTTTTAGAATATCTAAAAACCGACATACTTTGTGACGTCATGTAAGACAGCAGTAATACTTATACATATGTAACCGATATATTGCAATAGATCTTCTTTCCTTACAGCTTTAGACAGCAGCAATACTTATAGCTTTAGACAGCAGTAATACGTATACATATATAACCGATATATTGCAATAGATCTACTTTCCTTACAGCTTAAGACAGCAGTAATACTTATACATATATAACCAATATATTAATATATTGCAATAGATCTACTTTCCTTACAGCTTAAGACAGCAGCAATACTTATACATATATAACCGATATATTGCAATAGATCTACTTTCTTACAGCTTAAGACAGCAGTAATACTTATACATATATAACCGATATATTGTAATAGATCTTCTTTTCTTAAAGCTTTACACAGCAGTAATACTTCAGACAGCAGCAATACTTATACATATATAACCGATATATTGCAATAGATCTACTTTCCTTACAGCTTAAGACAGCAGTAATACTTATACATATATAACCGATATATTGCAATAGATCTACTTTCCTTTCAGCTTTAGACAGCAGCAATATTTATACATATATAACCGATATATTGCAATAAATCTACTTTCCTTACAGCTTCAGACAGCAGCAATACTTATACATATATAACCGATATATTGCAATAGATCTACTTTCCTTTCAGCATTAGACAGCAGTAATACTTTTACATATATAACATAAATATTGCAATATATCTACTTTCCTGATAGCTTTAGACAGCAGCAATACTTATACATATATAACCGATATATTGCAATAGATGTACTTTCCTTACAGCTTTAGACAGCAGTAATACTTTTACATATATAACAGAAATATTGCCATAGATCTACTTTCCTTTCAGCTTAAGACAGCAGCAATACTTTTACATATTTAACAGAAATATTGCAATAGATCTACTTTCCTTACAGCTTAAGACAGCAGCAATACTTATACATATATAACCGATATATTGCAATAAATCTACTTTCCTTACAGCTTAAGACAGCAGCAATACTTATACATATATAACCGATATATTGCAATAGATCTACTTTCCTTACAGCTTAAGACAGCAGTAATACTTATACATATATAACCGATATATTGCAATAGATCTACTTTCGTTTCAGTTTTAGACAGCAGCAATATTTATACATATATAACCGATATATTGCAATAAATCTACTTTCGTTTCAGTTTTAGACAGCAGCAATACTTATACATATATAACCGATATATTGCAATAGATCTACTTTCCTTTCAGCATTAGACAGCAGTAATACTTTTACATATATAACATAAATATTGCAATATATCTACTTTCCTGATAGCTTTAGACAGCAGCAATACCTATACATATATAACCGATATATTGCAATAGATCTACTTTCCTTACAGCTTAAGACAGCAGTAATACTTATACATATATAACCGATATATTGCAATAGATCTACTTTCCTTACAGCTTAGGACAGCAGTAATACTTATACATATATAACCGATATATTGCAATAGATCTACTTTCCTTACAGCTTAAGACAGCAGCAATACTTATAGCTTAAAACAGCAGTAATACGTATACATATATAACCGATATATTGCAATAGATCTACTTTCCTTACAGCTTAAGACAGCAGCAATACTTATAGCTTAAGACAGCAGTAATACGTATACATATTTAACCGATATATTGCAATAGATCTACTTTCCTTACAGCTTAAGACAGCAGTAATACTTATACATATATAACCAATATAATAGATCTACTTTCCTTACAGCTTAAGACAGCAGCAATACTTATACATATATTACCGATATATTGCAATAGATCTACTTTCCTTACAGCTTTAGACAGCAGTAATACTTATACATATATAACCAATATATTGCAATAGATCTACTTTCCTTACAGCTTAAGACAGCAGCAATACTTATACATATGTAACAGAAATATTGCAATAGATCTACTTTCCTTTCAGTTTTAGACAGTCGTAATACTTGTACATATATTACAGAAATATAAGAATAGATCTACTTTCCTTACAGCTTTAGACAGCAGTAACACTTGTACATTTATAACAGAAATACTACAATAGATCTACTTTCCTTGCAGCATTAGACAGCAGTAATACTCGAAGATATATAACAGAAATATTACAACAGATCTGCTTTCCTCACAGCTTTAGATATCAGTAATACTTGTACATATATAACAGAATTATTACAACAGATCTACTTTCCTCACAGCTTTAGATATCAGTTATACTTGTACATATATAACAGAAATATTACAATAGGTCTACTTTCCTTACAGTTTTAGACAGTCGTAACACTTGTACATATATAACAGAAATATTACAATAGATCTACTTTCTTTACAGCTTTAGACAGCAGCAATACAAATGATGACAGCATTGTCAGTGATTTAGAGTATTTTAATCATGAAATTAGAGGAACTTATAACAGTTGCAAAAGTTATGGTGGAAAATCAGAGACTAAACCGAAACATAGTGGACCAAATAGTTTAGACAGTGGTGTATTTGGATCAGAGAAAAACGAATGTCAATAGTTCAAAGTGTATATGTTTGTCAAATATTCGATTCGATCGTATATCAATCTAACTAAACGTATTCATACCAAATTGATCTCAACATATTTTTCTACGACATTGATCTCAGCATATTTATCTACGATCCCTACCTCGGTGTGATCCATATCATATTGGTTGTCTGCTTTTTTTGGTATTTTTATTTAATGCATATCAGTAGACAACTCCATTGTGCAGGACAAATATATATATATATATGTTTTATATATATTTGTTTTGTCATAAAATTAAAACACTCACATGAAAAGCAGTATCGGTTTTTTTGTTTGCTATAATTCATCTCAAACTCACAGTGATCTCGTCCACGTGATGCAAACACATTCACCTCACTGCAATTATTGAGTGGAATTCCCCTATAAACAATTGTGAATTGTATTTAAAACGAAATCAAACAAATTCTATCATTAATTGCTCGACAAATAAAAAAAACAAAGGACAGAAACAATAGAAACTTAACAAACAACGGGCAACATGTGTTATGTTATGTTATGTGTAGACGGGTGCGTCGACAGGATAAACATCATGTGGATCTACACTCAGTCAAAATCTCACAATCGGAATAGGACACAATCGGCAAAATTATCGATTAGTCGACTATATCGTTATCTAAATATCGAAGATTACGATCGCTAGTGGGTTGAAATAAAGATGTGTCATATCGGTTAACCAATTCTTGATAAAACTAATGAAGAAGAAACATTGGGTATGTTACTGCTGAGAACTGTTCAGCAATTTGAATAAACACATTGCCCGAAAGCGAAAAAATGAGGTATATTTAAAAATGAAGCATACTGAAGAGAAGTTATTTCTGAATTAAAAAGCCTATGAAAATATGACAGCATGATTATTCATTATTTTTTATATCTATTTTTTCAATACTTCTTAACATTTCATTTTGTCAGCTTTTATATTAATCATATTTTTGTGCGTCTTTTGCTGTTTGCTGTTTAATATTCTGTTTGTAATCATTTTCACCTGTTATGTATTTCATTTTATTAACATTATTTGTCATGTTGTATATGTTGTTAATGGTTTATACATTAAATGTGCTTTCTTCAATAAGATATCTGATTTGATTTGATTTGGTTTATTTATACAACTTATCTTTGACATTTGTTAAAAAACTTATGTCAGAAATTATAATGGCAAAAAATGCTTCTCCTACAGACACTGGGAAAAAGAACTCGGCAGTGTTTGGTACGTTCTACGTAAGGACGCTACTAATTACATGTTCACTAGGAAAGATCCGGCAAAAAGTTAAATGAAACAAAAACTAACCTCATTTTATTTGTACTGGCTGTAAACGTCCCTAGAACTCGGACCTAGGCTGTCTATATAAGCAGGTAGCCACAGAGAGGTTAAAAAATACGATATCAACAAAATCGATGGATATGCAGCAAATATTCTTTTAAGTCAAATATCGTATTCAAACGGACTTTATTCAAATATTACTTTAAGGAAATATGTAAAAGTAAATTTGGTCCACACAAAATGTCTCCTGGACCTTGTTTTTCTAGTAAAATAATTAGATATAAGAAGATGTGGTATGGGTGCCAATGAGACAACTCTCCATCCAAGTCAAAATGTATAAAATGAAACCATTATAGGTTAAAGTACGGTCTTCAACACGGAGCCTTGGCTCACACCGAACAGCAAGCTATAAAGGGCCTCAAAAAGTACTAGTGTAAAACCATTCAAACGGGAAAACCAACGGTCTAATCTATATAAAAAACGAGAAACGAGAAACACTTATGAACCACATCAACAAACGACAACTACTGAACATCAGATTCCTGAAAATAAGCCCATTTTTATCACTGTACTAGAAACTTAAGTTCCTGGAAATCATCTCCAAGAAAAATGTGTCCATAGTTCGTAAAATGTATTTGGCACTTATTTTACCTTGGGAAATAGGTCAGGTACTTCATTTTCAGACAAAGCATAGCACATTGATTATTTTACCTTGGAAGCAAAGTCAGGGATCCTGTTTACTTACAGGATGCAAAAGACTGGAAACTCTGTTTATGGATTGAAAAATAAGCTTTCCAAGTAATAACAGTTCATGTTATCAATTTCATTAGAAAAAAAAACAAATAGATATAGGAAGATGTGGTATGAGTGCCAATGAGACAACTCTCCATCCAAGTTACAATTTATAAAAGTAAACCATTATAGGTCAAGGTACGGCCTTCAACACGGAGCATTGGCTCACACCGAACAGCAAGCTATAAAGGGCCCCAAAAAATTACTAGTGTAAAACCATTTAAACGGAAAAATCAACGGTCTAATCTATATAAAAACGAGAAACGAGAAACACGTATGAACTACATAAACAGACGACAACTACTGTAATCAGATTCCTGACTTAGGACAGGTGCAAACATTTGCAGCGGGATTAAACGTTTTAATGGTACCAAACCTTCTCCCTTTTCTGAAACAATAGTATAACATCACAACATAGAAAAACACACTATAAAATATCAATTGGAAGGCTTAACTTAATCAAAAAACGTAAATTAACACACAATGAACGAATAAATTAGACCTGTGACACCTGAATGCAAATACACAGTTAATAAAAAATTATAAGGGATAAATAATTAAAGTCAAAAGTAAATAAACAGGTTTAAACAAAGTTAAAGTATGATAAATGTCCATTTACAACTTCAATCCTTAAAAATCATTTATAATATTTCAAATTTGACTGATTGATTGATTGATTGGTGTTAATATACACCAACATATTCAAACATAGCAATACAAAAACATTCCTATGTTTATATCTACATAATTGTCTTTCAAATCAAGACATTTTTCTCGTTAAATTCAAGACATGTGTTTTTTTTACCAAGGAAAATTAATCTTTAGACTTTTATTTAACTGACATCGGATTTAAAATACTAGCAAATTATGCAACCATGGACTTTTTATACTGCCAAGAATTTTTAGTCCGCCCAGACAAAATTAACCAGGTATAATTTATCGCTTACAAATAAATCGTTAAGACTATATATATATATATATATATATATATATATATACAAGTCTAAATTGAAAACAACGTTCAAACCTATGATTGCGTTGGATAAAAACCGCAATTTTTATACGTGTGCATGCAAAACAAATTTCTTGGTAGAGTGGTCTAAATACAGCACAAACAACATTTTCCAAAAGACCAAAAAAGTGAAAAAGTATATTTTAACAAAACGCATTTGACTAGCAGGTCGAACAACGGATGTTCTTAAACCCTGATATATATATATATCCAAAAATAAAAAACGACCTATTCTTAAATTTGAACTATCAAGATATTATAACGGATCACACTTTTTGGAAAAAAAGTAATATTTTCCACATTCTTACTTTGTATTCTATAAAGTATTCCGTTTAGTTTTCTTTCTACAGCTGGTACACGGACACGATATATTCTTATAGTGAATGCCTTCTTCCTTATTTTGTTAATACCTATGAAACAATATCAATGTAAAGGAATGCTCTATTTATTTTACTATGAGATATGCAGTCAGACTTTTATCGTTATTGCATTTCTTTGGCTTTTTGAAGGTTTTCAATAGTAAGAAACCAGTGAAAATCTGATTTTCATATGATAGTAAATAGATCTAAATACATGAAACGGTTCAAGCAGGAAAAAAGATATGCATACAAATAATAATACCTCAAAATTTTTTTTTTTATTTTGATAAGTTTAATAAATACTGCAACCGTTTTCATCAGAGAGTTGAAATTAAAAAAAAGTTCTGCAATCGTCCATTTAACTATCAAAATACATTTGAATAAGGTGTCATCAAATTAAACTTACGTTATCTGCCCTTGTATGTATAGAGGAAAGTAAGCATATGGAGTATATATTTCCAAGTTGCTACGTTACACCAGGACTATTAAACCAAGAGTTCCAAGTGGTGAAGTTGAAATCATCCCTTCATAAATTTTACGGACGCCATCACGAGTTGGTTGACCGTTATGGAATGTCTCACAGATAACGACGGATATGTTCCAATTGTCGTAAAGTTTGTACTTACATGAGCACTCGGTTGCCACTCTTGGAACAGGATCTGTTAACCCTTCCATAGCACCTGAGATCATCCTCATTATTTGGTTGGGTCGTGTTGCTCAGTTTCTCGTTTTCTATGTTGTGTTTTGTGTACTGTTGTTTGTCTTATGGCCTTTTTTTGTTTTTTTGCAATGGCATTGTCAGTTTACTTTCGACTTATGAGTTTGAATGTCCCTTTGGTATCTTTCGCCTCTCTTTTACCTATGAAATGAACAATGATAAAAGTTGTCCACTTGTGAATTTTCGGATCATGAAATTGAGGAAACTACATAAAACATCTTTAAAGTCAGAAATGTATTTCCTCCTACGAATGTTTGAAATAGACACCAGATGGATAATAAAAATACGGAAAATATAGTTGGAGATTCGTTTCTTTCTATTTGATATTAACACCAAAATTATATTAAACGTATTTGAATATTCATTCATGATGTTTTATCTTAACATAAAGTCGAATTTCTGAATGACCCTTTCTTAATTATTGAAATCTATCATTTTCTATTAAAAATAATATGCTGGTGTTAATTAGACAAATTAGATACACCCTATCAATAGTGTATCTAATGCACATAACATGTGGATTTAGGAAACAGTTTGTTATCAATGGATTCCTACATATGACCATTGTTACATATTGCTTAATATTGTGATAATTCAACATTCTGAGTCCGGTAGGTGTTTTTATTTTTTGTTCCCACAAAACATAAGAATATATATCTATTTATTTATTAGGAACACTTCCCCTTTGCATCGGGCACTAATCGTCTGTGCAATGGCGGTGAAATAAGATTTCCTTACACGATAGATTTCGTTTGCTCGATACACGAACAGCATACATTCTTACTTTGTATTCTATAAAGTATTCCGTTTAGTTTTCTTTCTACAGCTGGTACACGGACACGATATATTCTTATAGTGAATGCCTTCTTCCTTATTTTGTTAATACCTATGAAACAATATCAATGTAAAGGAATGCTCTATTTATTTTACTATGAGATATGCAGTCAGACTTTTATCGTTATTGCATTTCTTTGGCTTTTTGAAGGTTTTCAATAGTAAGAAACCAGTGAAAATCTGATTTTCATATGATAGTAAATAGATCTAAATACATGAAACGGTTCAAGCAGGAAAAAAGATATGCATACAAATAATAATACCTCAAAATTTTATTTTTTTATTTTGATAAGTTTAATAAATACTGCAACCGTTTTCATCAGAGAGTTGAAATTAAAAAAAAGTTCTGCAATCGTCCATTTAACTATCAAAATACATTTGAATAAGGTGTCATCAAATTAAACTTACGTTATCTGCCCTTGTATGTAAAGAGGAAAGTAAGCATATGGAGTATATATTTCCAAGTTGCTACGTTACACCAGGACTATTAAACCAAGAGTTCCAAGTGGTGAAGTTGAAATCATCCCTTCATAAATTTTACGGACGCCATCACGAGTTGGTTGACCGTTATGGAATGTCTCACAGATAACGACGGATATGTTCCAATTGTCGTAAAGTTTGTACTTACATGAGCACTCGGTTGCCACTCTTGGAACAGGATCTGTTAACCCTTCCATAGCACCTGAGATCATCCTCATTATTTGGTTGGGTCGTGTTGCTCAGTTTCTCGTTTTCTATGTTGTGTTTTGTGTACTGTTGTTTGTCTTATGGCCTTTTTTTGTTTTTTTGCAATGGCATTGTCAGTTTACTTTCGACTTATGAGTTTGAATGTCCCTTTGGTATCTTTCGCCTCTCTTTTACCTATGAAATGAACAATGATAAAAGTTGTCCACTTGTGAATTTTCGGATCATGAAATTGAGGAAACTACATAAAACATCTTTAAAGTCAGAACTGTATTTCCTCCTACGAATGTTTGAAATAGACACCAGATGGATAATAAAAATACGGAAAATATAGTTGGAGATTCGTTTCTTTCTATTTGATATTAACACCAAAATTATATTAAACGTATTTGAATATTCATTCATGATGTTTTA